TGTGACGGTGGTTTCTGGTTGTTTGTCATCTTCCTCAACGGTTTCGATCTTTGTGACTTCTTGTTTGCCACCCTTGACTTTCTTAATTACACGAGTGCGTATCTTCTTCATCTTTGGTTTACCGTCTTCGGAGATGGTCTCAACTACACGCACCTCTTCCGGCATTTCTCTAATTTCCTCGGTTGCTTCTTCAACAGGTGTTTCTTCAACTGTGACTGTGGTTTCTGGTTGTTTGTCATCTTCTTCAACGGTTTCGATCTTTGTGACTTCTTGTTTGTCGCCCTTGACTTTCTTAATTACACGAGTGCGTATCTTCTTCTTCTTTGGTTTACCGTCTTCGGAGATGGTCTCAACCACACGCACCTCTTCCGGCATTTCTCTAATTTCCTCGGTTGCTTCTTCAACAGGTGTTTCTTCAAATGTGACTGTGGTTTCCGGTTGTCTGTCATCTTCTTCAACAGTTTCGATCTTTGTGACTTCTTGTTTGTCACCCTGTACTTTCTTAATTACACGTGTGCGTATCTTCCTCTTCTTTGGTTTACCGTCTTCGGAGATCGTCTCAACCACACGCACCTCTTCGGGCATTTCTTCAACGGTCTCGAAAGGAGTTTCCTCAACAATAATAGTAGTTTTAGGCTGCTTTTCATCCTCTTCAACAGTTTCGATCTTAGTGACTTCTTGCTTATCACCCTTGACCTTCTTAATAACACGAGTGCGTATCTTCTTCTTCTTCGGTTTACCGTCTTCGGAGATGGTTTCGACCACACGCACCTCTTCGGGCATTTCTATAACCTCCTCAGGAGCTTCTTCAATCAGAGTCTCTTCAACTGTGACTGTGGTTTCCGGTTGTTTATTATCTTCCTCAACAGTTTCGATCTTTGTGACTTCTTGTTTGCCACCCTTGACCTTTTTGATTACTCGTGTGCGTATCTTCTTCTTCTTTGGTTTACCGTCTTCAGAGATAGTTTCGATCACACGCACCTCTTCGGGCATTTCTCTAACTTCCTGAGGTACTTCCTCTACAGGCGTTTCTTCAACTGTGACTGTGGTTTCTGGTTGTTTGTCATCCTCCTCAACAGTTTCTATATCCGTGACTTCTTGCTTATCACCATTGCCTTTTTTGATTACTTTTGTGCGGATCTTCTTCTTCTTTGGTTTATCGTCTTCGGCGATGGTCTCAACCACACGCACATCTTTGGGCATTTCTTTAACTTCCTCAGCTGCTTCTTCAACAGGGGTTTCTTCAACTGTGATCGTGGTTTCTGGTTGTTTGTCATCTTCCTCAACAGTTTCGATCTTCGTGACTTCTTGTTTGCCACCCTTGACCTTCTTGATTACTCGTGTGCGTATCTTCTTCTTCTTTGGTTTACCGTCTTCGGA